CCTCCTCTGGACCCTCTCCAGGTTCTCCATGTCCCTCTTGAAGTGCGGCGCCCAGAACTGGACACAGTACTCCAGCTGCGGCCTGACCAGCGCTGGAGCAAGACCTCTCTGGACCTGTTAGTGATGCCCCTGTTGATGCATGACAGGGTGCAGTTGGCTCTGCCTATTGCTTCATCACATTGGTGACTCATATTCATCCTGTAGTCAATCATGACTCCAAGATCTCTCTCTGCCTCTGTGCTGCCAAGAGGATCAGCTCATAATCTATAACCATAATGCTGGTTCCTTCTCCCCAGGTGCAGCACTCTACACTTGTCCTTGTTGAACCGCATCCTGTTCAGATCCGCCCACTTCTCTAACCTATCCAGGTCTGCCTGGATGTGGTCCCTGCCTGCCGGTGTATTCACTTTACCCCACAGCTTGGTGTCATCAGTGAACTTGAACAGGGTGCTCTCCACACCTTCGTCCAGGTCACTAATGAAGATGTTGAACAGGACCAGCCCAAGGACCGAGCCCTGGGGGACTCCACTGCCCACACCCTGCCAGGTCGACATCAACCCATCCACCACCATCCTCTGGGTGCGCCCCTCAAGCCAGTTTGCAACCCATGTGACTGTGCATTCATCAATGCCACAGTCCCTCAGCTTGCCCACCAGAATTGGGTGGGACACTGTGTCGAAGGGCAATATGTTTGATATCCACATTACTCTTCAACGCAGGTGAGCACAGGCCTCTGGAGCATTAGGCTCAAGTTTCATAGATCATAGAATTAGAGAAATTAAGGGCTGGAAGGAAGCTCAAATGTTCATCGAGTCCAACCCCCCTGCTCTGGGCAGGAATACTGCTGAGATCTAATGAGTTCAGCAAGGTGTCTGTCCAGTCTGCTCTGGAAGACTTCCAATGTTGGGGACTGCATTGCCTCCTTGGGAAGTCTATTCTGGATTCTGGTCACCCTTACCATAAAGAAGTTCTTCCTTATGTCCTACCTGAAACCATCCTCTAACAGTTTATGGCCATTGCTCCTTGTGGTCCCCTGGGGTGCCCTAGTAAACAATTTTTCTCCCAGCTCCCAATATTCATCCCTTACATACTTATAGATGGCCACCAGGTTCCCTCTCAGTCTTCTCTTCCCCAGGTTGAACAGTCCCAGATCCCTTAGTCTTTCCTCATGTTTGTCCTCCAGGCCCTTAATCATTCTTGTGGCCCTTCTGTGGACTCTTTCAAGATTCTCCACATCTTTTTTGAAGTGCAGCGCCCAGAACTGGACACACTACTCCAGCATGGGTCTCACCAGCACCAAATAGAGAGGAACTATCACTTCCTTAACCCTGCTCGCAATGCATCGGCTAATGCACCCCATGAATCTGTGTGGATTTTATGCTATCTCTGTGAATTCATAATGCTGTGAATCTCTGTAGATTGTGAACACCTACCAGGAGGAAGAATTTCCTTCCACATCATTAGGAGTCTTTCAGTTTGTGAGATTAAAATTTCCTCAGTAATGAGCCCATATGTGTATAGCAGAACTTGGCTTCTAAGGTACTTGTGAGTGTCTCAGGACAGAATTTACTCCTTACTATGGAGTTTTAATGTCTATTCTGTTTTTTTAAACCAGGGTTTGGGGATATATGTTCCCTTTTCTTCTTCCACTTCTAGAAAACAAATTTAGAGAAATCTGATATTTTTTCACTTTTTAAAAGGAAGGGAGAAAGCAGTGATAATTAACATCATAATTCAAGTTACAAGTAATTGCTCTTGAGAGACTGCAAAGAACTGTTATTCATTTGATTATCATAGTAGGTTTTTATATATCAAATCAATAGTCATGTGACTGATCACATAACACTTTTTATTTAGATTTCTGAAACACTAACAAGATTGAGAATTCATAGAATCATGGAAAATTAGGGTGGAAGGGACCTCTGGAGGTCATCTAGCCTAGCCCTCTGCTCAAAGCAGGACCAGCTCCAACTATAATGTCCCCAGCTTTATCTTCCATTTCTGGATAAAAAAATTCAGATAAAACTTGTGACAAGGGTGCTTGTACAACTGACTGTCTCTGTCTTGGGGAATTGGATTGTCTGTATTGATTATTTCCTCTCCTTAGTCTGTGGTTTTGTAGGTGTTAATCGTTGCTAAGTAACTCATTACCTAGTAGCTACTCAGTACTGTGTATTGAGCTGGTCCCTGAGTGAATCATAATTGCTTGGTAACTGGTAACACAGTAGCTTAGCAGCCAGGCCTGCAATAGTTCCCCTCACCCACCCCCACCCTGTGCCCCAAGACAGACACAGTTGCACAAGCACCCATGACACGAATTTTGCCTGTCAGCAGCTAGAGGTGCAGGGCCCCAGAAGCTCTGCACCGATCTCCTCAACAGCTGGCAGGCTTCATGGCCACAGCAGAGGCTAGCAGGCCTGCAGCTTTCACCCTCATGTGCCTTAACACACACAATGTCATCCATGTCATGAGTTTTGCTTGTCATGAGTTTTCCCCCAAACTTCTGCACTTATAGCCTTGAAACTTGGCAGGCTTTGTGGCCTCGCCAGAGGCCACCACCCTTGCAGTTTTGACCCCACTGTGGCTTAACACATATACGTGACGAGTTTTGCTTTTAAGAATTTGGGATACAGTTCCTCCCAAACCCCTGCACTGATCTTCCTGAAACATAGCAGGCTTTATGCTGTCAGCAGAGGCTACCACTCATGCAGGTTTTATCCAAATAAGACAAAAAACAACAAACTTATAGCTAGTTCACTGATTCCCCATTATACCCTATGGCCGGTTGTCCAAGGCGCCTCCAAAGCTTCAGAGCCACTTTGGGCAGATCGAAACGGGAAACCGATCCGGAGCTCCGGATTGGATCCCTGGCATCTGAAGTGGCCGGAGCTGAAGCCAGATCAAATAACTGCCTACTTGCACAGGTCTACTGGTTATTATTAACCTCTACATTGACCTAAGTAATTCAACCCTGCAGACAGAGCAGTGAAGGGAATTGGATCACTTCAATAATACATTATTGATGCATGCACATACAACTTGCATAGCTCTCTAATTAGGTCCTCATACATGCATTCAAAGAAGAGTGTGTTTTGGGTTTTTTGGTTGTTGGCTTTTTTTGCTGTACCTCAGTTTAAATATTCTTAGCTGCATGTACATTTCTAACTGGCTGCCACCTTACCATAAAAAGAGGAAAAAGGAAAGGGCATTGAATGGCTCAGTGGTTAGATTAAAACAGTATTTCACTTCAAGTTACTGGTTTCTGTTGTTCACCCTTTTGGGGATATGACAGCAGCTACGTGACAGGCAAATAGGCTTGTCATCGTGGAAAAGGCAGAGCTGTCTAGCGCTCAAGACCCTTCAGTTCTTTTCCTGGCTCTGCCATTTACTTTTCTGTGTGACCTTGGGTAAGCACACTTCTGTGTCTCAGGTTATGCTTCTATAAATATAACTGTTGAGCTATGTTAACTGCTGTAGTGAAGCTGAGTTAGTGGCTGTAGAATGCTCTGGACCTTGGATTAAAGGCTTTGTAGAAGTGGCTAGGTATTGTTGTGTAACTATGCACTGACAGAAAAAACAGAGCTAAGGTGGCTGAGAGGTTTCTCCTTTCCTTCCAGAATGCCAAATCACCAAAACTCAAATCTCCAAAAAACAGGGTATAAATTTGAATTCTTGAAAGCCAGAAAATGCACAGCTAAGATGGACAGCTGCAGAACTTGAGCTCGGGGTGTCTCAATATTCACAGAGCGTGCATACTTCCGTTCGGCTCATGCTCAGACCGGAAGAGACGCAGCAGTCCCGCTCCCCATCCCCAGGTCCTGGCTTGCATGGAGTGGTAAGGGGAAGGGATCAGACTTGCCCCTGAAGGGAAGAACCCTCTTCCCAGATCCCAGATTCCTCACAGGAATCTCTTCAGGAGTCCTCAGGGGAGCTGAGCCCTACCAGAGCTTTGTATACACTCACGTGGGCTGACAGAAACCTCTGTCCTTAATCCTCTCACTCCCCTTGCCACCACCTGTATATATCCCCTACCACCTGGCTCATTTATCCTCCTTCCCTCACTGTGGCCTCAAACACTTTTCCTTAGTTCCCTTACTCTTCTACCCCCTTCTCTCCTACTAAACAGTTGCATTTATCATGGTTTTTCAAAGACAGCTTAGGCCCTTCTGTAAATCGGGGTTCTTTTCTCAAAATGTAAAGAAAACCAGAGAAGATAGTAGGCACATGCCTACAGACAGAGTTTGCCTAGGTTGAGAAGTTAAATTGCCACAGCAGGTCCCTTTGAATTACACAGATAATATTAAAGCAGCTTGACTAGAAATCTTCTTATCTAGCCTTTCTGCATATATTCATCACAATCTGTGTGTTGTATGTGCATACGTGTGATAATCCAGAGAGGCTAATTCTTCTTTTAATATTTTATTCATTATTGTTTACCAGAGGGGCTG